GGAGTCGCCGTTTCGACTGGTTGGATAATGTAATTACTGGAGATGAAAGGTGGGGGCTCTACCTATGTCATACCAGAAGAAGAGTGAATGGGTGCGAACCAGAAGCCAGAGCCTGTTCCAAAGCAGGAGGTTCATCCCAAGAAAGTTCCTCTGTCAGTTTGGTGGAGAGTTCGGGGAACACGTCATTACGAGATGCCAGACAATACCATCGTCGACGCCGAGGTGTACTGCTCACAACCACGAAGGCTCGCAGTTGAAGTCGCGAAACTTCGCCCTGAGATGGACGAAGTTTTTCTTCTTCATGACAACGCGTGACCCCATGTTGCAAGGGTAACCCAGGACACATTGGCGGAACTTGGATCTGCGGTTTCACCCCATCCTCCATATTCGCCAGGTCTTGCGCCTACGGATTACCACCCACTCCTTTCCCTGGCTCACTTCTCAAAGGATAAAAACTACGACAACTTTCAATAGCTGAAAGCGGACATGGGCACTTCTTCGACTCGAAGCCTGCCGAATTTTGAAGGAGAGGCATTTGTTTCCTTGTCGACCGATGGCGGACTGGTGTAAGTGCTTGTGGGAATTATTATTAGGAATAAAGTTCAATTCAAAGAAAGATACGAGTTTTTGAAATTGAGGGTCGAATCCGCCATTACTTTCGTTGCGACCTAATAGTAAATAATCATGCAAAATCGTAAGATGTTTGAAGCGGAGAGATTACAGTGCGTCATACTGACCACAATATACTCAAGTAAGTCCCACTCATCTTGTGCCTTATTGTACCCTGATACGCTGTAGCAAGACGACACTTCATAATTCATCATGGATTCTCCACTAATTCGAACTAACCTGTGTGTACACTAGTGGTACCGGCACCCAGTCAAAAAGCCACAGGTTGATGAGGCTAGATCGGAAGACTGCAATTCTCTAAAAGAAAAAATGCTTTGCTGATCCTCAATGATGATGTGTTTGATAGTAGTTTTTCGACCAAGTTGTTTATGCAACCCAAAGTGCCAAACTCTCTTACATGTTTCCCTATTTTTTACGCATACCAGGAGTGAGCTAAAATTGAACGTATCAGGAGGACATTAAATTAAGCCCTTCTGGCGGAGCAAGCACCCGAAGGAACTTTAGCATGCCTGACCCCTTCGCGAGCTGTCCATGCGCTATCAGTGTCTCGCCAGGACCACATGCCTCAGATGACTGCCACGGACTGCTAAATAGATTGTACAACGATGTTTCATCGATTCCACAATTCCATTGTAGCCGTGGTAGGAAGAGTGTATGACAAATCGGTGCAGTAGCCGCAAACTTCAACGCTTGACTAGAGTGCGTCACAGCTGCGACCGCCTTTGGCGTGAACGTATTTGGTGCGCGTCCCAATCATCTCCGGTCTTTCAATGACATCGTCCCCCTCACTTACTCGCTAGAATATGTCGCTTAGATACTGAACTGTCTACATACTTGAGCAGGACCTCACTATACCCCACTGTTTTGTGTCGACAGCTTCAAAGTCAAGGTTAAGTGGAACCTTTTCGCTCGCGAGTCACGCAATGAAGCACTGCTGGGGCATGCAAGGCTATATGGTTAACATTAATTCCATAAAAAGTGTAATCGAGTACGCAAATAACGCGAGTTACAGGAAATTTTGTTGCCATGTTCTCCAAAGTTCTCCACAGGATCACTGCTCTAATACAATTATCAAATCCACCAACACTCATTTCCAGTGGCAACAAGCCAGTGAAGCAATTTTTGAAATAATTCACTCACATCTAATAATGAGACGTAGATGACTTCCCCTTTGATTCGCTTTTCATCCCATGCAAGTGTGATAAGCGAAAGAAGCCACTGAATCGGTAGCCAGTACTTGGCATTAGGAGTGACGACCTTGTCGTATTCCTCGAATTCTCGAGCTGTCATTAAGCCTGAAACCGAATGAGACAAATGAAAAGAATCACAAAGAATAATAGACGCTTGACCGCAAATTTGTCTATCACCCACCGTTAACTTATGAAAGACCCCTTGTCGACGAAACACTACTCCCTCCCTTACTCTTCACTACTATGGTTTTGCTGAAGCGCTACCAAGCGGTAAAGTGACGTATTGGCTCGGTACGCTCCTTTCGCGTCGAGTCGTGTAAGAGTCTGTAACCCCCAGTAGACAGCGTGAGTTTTGAAGAAGGCAGCATCTATGGGAGTCGCGTCAATGCGCAAATCAGCAGGCAAGGAAGGGCTCTCATCAGTCGAGTTTCGGCACAGATGCTGATGCTTGCGGCAGATATTAAATATGTGGCTCTGGAGGAACCATAGTACATAATATCGGGTTGATGCATAATTAATGCGAATTTTTAAACAAATTTTATTCAGCGAAAACATATTTGAACGATTATTCAAAGCGTGTTCACCATCCTCCAAAAATGCTTCCCATTTGCTTTACAGTAGGTCGATTCCTACAGGTGGAGAAGTCACGATCCTTGGAGAAGATCCACGCTCTAACATCG